AGAAAAAGTCCCTGTGTTATTCAGAGAATAACTCTATATAATCAAGTACTTTATATAGGTTGTAGAAGGAAAAGTAAAGCTTTAATAAGGTGCCCAAACTTTCGATTCTTTCACTGAGGATTATAAATCTATATGTTAATGTCCCTTAAAATCTTAATTTGTAGTGCAACTCTTATTCTAAAACTCCAGAGCCGCCAGGAGCTCATGTCTGTAATTCTAGCACTTTGGGAGGTGAAAACATGAGGATTGCCTGAGCTCAGCGATTTGAGACCAGCCTGAGCAACAGAGCAAGACCTTGTCTCTACAATAAATCAAAAAGTTAGCTGGGCATGTTGGTGCATGCCAGTGGTTCTAGTCATTTGGAAGGCTGAGGCGGAAGGATCACTTGAACCCGGCAGATCAAGGCTGGGGTGGCCATGAGTGTACCACTGCATTTCAGCCTGGGCAACAGAGTGAGACTCTGATTCAAAATATTTAAATAAATAAATAATTATTTATTTAAATTATTTAATCCAGAACCATATAACAAGCTTTCTATTGAAATCTCTACTTAGATGTGTTACAAACATGTCCCTTATGTAAAATTTGTGCAAGACCCACCTGGTCATCTCTCCCCAGCCCCTCCCTAACCTTGCTCTTTGCATTTCTGTGAAAAATATAAAAATCTAACAAATTTCCTAAGCCAGACAATGCATATCATCCTTGTTCTGCCATTTCCCATGAGTCCTATATAAGATAGAGGCTTCCTGTTATTTCTAACTTCCAAATGTCCCCAGAGCACTGAAGCCAGGGTCTAGTGAAAAAAACAACACTAATAGTTTAAACAGAAATAATTTAATATCAGGAATTGGTTAAGTAGGTATGGAAGGACTGAAAAGTAAAGGGAGAATACTTTGGTAACACAGAGCTAGAATGGCAGGGACAGTGGCCACCCCTTGGATTGAGGGGAAAAGAGTGAGGTTGGAGTTATTAGGATTGAGGGGAAAAGAGTGAGGTTGGAGTTATTAGGATTTAGGATCTTGGGAGAAGGGCCTTGAAATTCTGGGACCCAAGTCTTGAAGAAGGGCCACTTCCTGGCAGCTGCTGATAACTCAGAATCTCAGGGAAGGAGTTGCATGAAATTGGGTTGGGGAAGAAAAATAGTGGTGCTGGACCCTCTGAAAGGTTTGAATAGGCTGGCTCTGGGAATGTGGAAAATAAGCTGAACCAATGGCTGCTTCTGGGATGAAGCGCTATTGTGTGGGATGATGCAGATGGGTTTGCAAGTATGTAGAGATGAGCAGGTCTCTCTCTCCCCACTTAACTTTGTAATCTCCCTTGAGTGCTGCTTATTGGAAGAGACCACATTTCCCAAAAAGGTGATATATATATAAAGAGACCCTAGAAATGTGCAAGGAGCCAAGAAACCAAAGAACAAGACAGACAAATTCAGTTTGTCAGTAAAGGGTGATTTATTTGGGAACTTATAGACAAAGCTTGGTCTTGGTGGCAACAAGACAGACAGGTGCAGGTCTCCACACTGTTACTCCCCAGATGCAGGACTCACATACCATAGGTAAAGGAGTCTGTGTTCCAGCAAGACAATGAAAGGCAACTCTCCAGAACAGGCAAGACTGCCAGGTGCATCACAGCCTATAATTTGTGGGGTGATATCAAGGTTGCTTTGATCTGAAGGCAGGATTTACAGTGAGTACATGTTCTTACACTATAACAGTAAATGGAATGGGAATCAGGAGGCATTTATGGGACTGGGGTTAAACAGAAGTCAACATGGCAGACTAGCATACAAGATGAAGTCACTTTTGTCTCTACAGACCAGTAGGGGGGATAAAATGTCACCCACAGGGTGCCAGAGACAACATTGCAGAAACCAATATAGAAAAGTGTATTTGATGATGGGAGTTCATAGACCTATAATTCATGGTCAGCAAAGTCTGTTATTTCTGCCTCCTGCTCTAGAATTCATTCTCTTCTTTCTGTCCCCTCTGTCTGCTCTCCTGCTTCAGGTTACCATCATCTCTCAGTTGACCAAATTCAGTAGCCTCCTGATCTTGCTGTTTCTTCTCTTTGCTGTCTGAAATCTACTCTCCACACAACAGCCAGAGTGAGCTTTATTATACAAATGAACTTCTGATGACAACATCCCTTTACTTGAATCCTTCTAATGGGGGCCAATGTTGGACAATGCCAGACAATATTAAAGTACCAAGATGTCGAAGTAACACTGCGCTTCTGTGAACCACACTCCCTTATTATATTCTACTGAACCCATCTTGGGGAAAGTCTTTGGGATACGCCTTACAGGAGCCTTTTTTTCCCCTCACAGGCAGTAGGGTGCTGGTCAGCTGAGGTTGGCCACATCTACAGCCAGGATCAAAGGATGCCTCTTATTTTAAGTCCTCCATGTCTGATTCAGACATTATTTCTTGACAGAAGACATTTATGTGTGAAAGTTGCTTTCTGGAACTCCTTTTTCTTTATCTGTCTTTGTAATTACAGGCTCAATTTGTCAGAGGAAGAACTCTGAACACCTTTTAAAACGTATCTGTTTATTATGACTCATTCTGACAGCCTTTCATTCTACTGTGACTTATCAAGTCCTCTTCCTTCAGCTGTCATCCTTCTTTTGGCTTGGAATGAAGTGTCTCTACCTTAGCACTATTCTGGGTCAGGTAATTCTTTGCTGTGAGAGGCTGTTCTATACACTGTAGGATGTTTAGAGCATCCCTGGTCTCTGCCTACCACGTGCCAGTACCATGTTCCCACTCCTACTTGCGACCACCAGAAAAGTCTTCAGACATTGCCAAATCGTTTTACTTTTCAGTTAAACAACAATTTCAGTTAAACACCACATGATTCTTTAGTATAAGTATGCCCATGCAATACTTCAGAAATTTACCTGAGCGTCCTTTTTATTTGCTAGATCTGGCAGTCCACTTGGGGCCAAGATCACCCCTAATGGAGACCCAATGGTCTAGAGTTAAATCCTAGGGTTAAAACCAATTGCAATGAGCCAATTATTTTGTTTGCTTGTTTTGAATTGAAGTCTCACTCTGTCACCCAGGCTGGAGTGCAGTGGCACGCTCATGGCCACCGCAGCCTTGACCTGCTGGGCTCAAGTGATCCTTCTGCCTCAGCCATCCAAGTAGCTGGAATTACAGGCACGTGCCACCATATCCGGCTAATTTTTTGATTTATTATAGAGATGAGGTCTCATCAAGTTGCCCAGGCTTGTCTCGAACCCATGGGCTCAGGTAATCCTCTTACCTAGGCCTTCCAAAGTGCTGGGATTATAGGTGTGAGCCACTGGGCCCAGTCTGTTTGTTTTTAAATTGGTTTGTTTTTTTGAGCCAATCCTATCTTGATTGCAATGATAACAAGTATTACTCCTTTAGCACCAGATGCCATCAAGAAAGAGATGCAGAATCCAATGAGATGACTCTGGTCTTGATAGAAAATTAAAGAAAACATTTAGCTCAGTCAGGGAGGAAGAGCTTGGAGAAGAAAGCTAGCAGCAACTTTAGCAGAATGGCAGCGAGTGAAGAGTTCTATTCTCACCAATTAGTTAAAAGAAGTTACAAAAGAGGTTATCCAGGGGTTACAAAATATTTGCATGAGAGAGTGAAGTACCCTATGGAAATAACATTAATGCTTTTCTAAGTCATGGGAAGATACTTAGATGTCTGAAGAGACTAAAGAAATGCAAAATCAAACCAAGTCAAAGAGGAAGTCAGCAGCAACCTTAGACTTCCTTCTCCTCTGACAGAAGAATTAGTTAATTCCTTTTTTTTTTTTTTTTTTTTTAGTCTATGTCTTACTCTGTTGCCCAGGCTGAAGTGCAGTGGCACATTCATGGTCACTGTAGCCTCTACCTATTGGTTTCAGGCGATTCTTTTGCCTCAGCTTTCCAAGTATTTGGAACTGCAGGCGCGCGCCACCATGCCTGGCTAATTTTTTGGCTTATTGTAGAGGTCTCGCAGTGTTGCCCAGGTTGATCTTGAACCCCGGATTCAGACAATCCTCTCACTTCCACCTCCCAAAGTGCTGGGATTATAGGCGTGAGCCACCGCGCCCAGCTAGAGTTAGCTAATTCTCAAACTCCAGGGAGGTGGGCCTTACTGCAAACTCCATAGTAGAGTATGCAACCCTTGTTATAATAATTATAAAAATAATTCAGTATGCCTATCAGCAGAGTAGCAAGAATTTCTTGTATGTATAGGTACAAGCTGTGGATCCTGGCCCCTAATCTCTGGTCACTAAAGAACCTTGTAACTGTTTAAATCGGGAATAATCACATCAGTTTTCATGGACTGGTTAAACTGTTTCTTCCATGGGTGTGTGTGGGTAGGTGTTTTCATTCTGGGGAAGTTTGACATGATTGTGTTAAGTTCAGAGAAAATGTATGAATAATTGGTATTATATGTAGTATGTAAAATGCTTACAATGTTTAAGAGATTTGTTATATTAGCATATTTGACTAAATTAATTGGTGAGTCAATTAAAAGTGTGCAATAGAGTAATTGACTTTAGAAGTGATTTTTAAATTTCTTTGATATATATTTGTATATAATTTTTGTGGAAATGAGGTATTGCTGTATTGCCCAGGCTGGTCTCAAACTCCTGGCCTCAAGGTGATCCTTCTGCCTCAGTTTCCCAAAATGCTGAATTACAGGCATGAGCCACTGTGCCCAGCCTTGATTTTCAAGTTGAATGTTATACAGTAATTTGGCCAAATTTGCACGTAGTGTTGCAATAGTTACGACAACTTAAAATGTTTATATTAGTAAATTTAATTCTGCTTAAATAGCTGGAAAAGTGTTTCTTGTGCAGCTGGGAATGTTGAAGATGGTTTTTCAAGCCCTTTGCGAGACACGTTTGGTTCTCACAGTGAGGTTGTGTTGGTCTCTAAGCCTTTCTCAATGGCCACTGAAAACCAGATTTTGATTAGGAAATGTCCGAAACACAGTACCTTGGTTTCAACCCTGAGTCCTTCCTACCAGTGTAAGCACTTTCCTTCCGGTTCTTAACACTGCTTCCTTCTTTCCTGCATGTTACCACTGGCAGAGCAAATATGACTCAGAAACCGGCTCCTCAGGGTTGTAACATTAGATGATACTCTGCTTGGGTCATTACACGGTAAACCAATGCCTTTGTTTGACTGGGCTGGGCTCTGGAGAAGGTGTGTTGCTCCTGAGTGCTGGAGAAGCACTCACAGGTATTTGCTGGAAAACCACTCACAGGGCTTGCTACCGGCTTGGGCTTCCGGGGACCTTTCTCTCAGCGAGGAAGGATTTTGATATTAATCAGAAATATCTCCAGAAGATTCAAAAAGCCACAGAGGTGAAATAAGCCTGTGAAGGACCAGCATGGGAATCCTATACTCTGAGGTACGTCACCTTTCTGAAAGCAGGGCTCCAAAGGTGTTAACAATTGTTCACGCTTTTCAGATGTCATTTTCTATTCCTGTTAGCTTGTTTCTCTTTCTTCTGTTTAACTTTCTGGGTGAGCATAAGCCAGAAAAAATATAGTCTTTTTTAAAAATGTGCTAGTCTTTTTGATATTTTTAATATTTAAGACAAATTATTTTGCACTTCTCAAATGTTAGCTGGAACTTAGTTGACATTGACATGATACACATTTCATAATGTCCAGGTGTTTGAGGGAGTCATTTGGATCTTGCAAAATCGAGTTTGAGTTGTGCTTGTCTCGGGATACTCAGAGAAAAAGAGACAATTATACCTACTTGGATTATCTAGTCTAAAGATTGTCTATTAGTTTAAAAGCCTCAAAGTTTGGCTGGTTCTTCTGTGGAATCACAGGGACACAGCAACACTTTTCAGCCTGGTATTTGAAAGGAAATTAATCTCTAGTGATTATTAGTAAAGGCTATCTCTGTGTAGAAGAGGGATAATAGCAACGTATTTTTGATATTTTAAGTATTTTCTTTTCACATCTGATCGATACAAAAGTACTCTTTCCTGTATTGAAAGTAACTTATTGACTGGGCGCGGTGGCTCAAGCCTGTAATCTTAGCACTTTGATAGGCCGAGGTGAGAGGATTGCCTGAGCTCAGGGGTTCGAGACCAACCTGGGCAACTTGGTAAGACCTTGTAGCTACAATAAATAGGAAAAAAATAAAAGAAAAGAAGAAAGTAACTTATTAAGGATCAGATTGATTTTTAATAATGTTTCAAAGGCGTACAAGAGAGTAATGTTTAAACAAGAGTACAAGAGGTGTGATGATGTTATTATTCATAATTTGCTCCCTCTCCTCTCTGACACAATTAACTGGTTAGTCTGCATTTCACTGCAGATGTTCAAGGGAATCTCTTTGGATGATTTTGATCTTCTAATACCAAAGGCAATTTTTTTGCAGTTATTTCTAATAGTGTGTGTGTGTGTATGTGTGTGTGTGTGAGAGAGAGAGAGAGAGAGAGATTATCTTTCTGTAGTAAATGTACTGATGTACTGTTTGATTGGTTTGTAATTCTAGGTATGGTTGGTTCAGCGATTTTAGTCTCATAAAGAGATTATATATGTAAAAATGACAAAACATACCATCTTCTAAAATGCTACTCTGATAATTCTCAAACTTTAGGTTGTCCAAGGTTTGTCAGGGAGAAGACCTTGTTGAAAATGCAGTTTCAAGTCCCCCTGCCGAGAGTCTGTTTCACTCAGTCTGTGGTAGGGTCCAGAAACATACTTTTTAAGAGGAGCAGGTGACTCTGCTCGGTTTACCACCATCCTGAGAGACATACTACTCCAGGCTAGTGCTTTTCAAATTTTAATGTGCATGCAGATCACCTGAAGGTCTTGTTCAAATGTAGATTCTTGGTCTGTAGACCTGGTAGGAGCCTAAGAGTATGCATTTTGCTTTTTCAGGTTGCATGTAGCACTTACATGTGAATTGAAAAAAACAAAAAGCCTCGTGTCAGTCAGTCTATTCTGGTGTAGATAGTCTGGGGTGGAAACTTTCACCTATAATTTTAAAGAGTTTGAGAAGCTCTGAAGAAATCTCTCAAATGTTTAAACACAACTTGCTCATCTGTTATGTACCAGTTGCTTTGTTGTTTGTTAAGTATAAGACCATGGACCCCCGATTAAGGAGAGAAAAAGGGCTGAAACACCCCTAGTTCTATGTTGCTTTGGAGCATCTATTAAATGTAAAAACAACAAAAAAATAAAAAACCTTTTTAATAAAGTTCTACCTCCTACCCTGAGTGTAGGAAGCTCCTTTTGGGGGACAAAGGCTGATCATCTTTCCTTAGAACCTTGCTAATAGTTATTCAAGATATATTTTTAAGAAAAAACAGGAGAATAAGGGTGCATCCCAAAGCAAGTCTTAAAATCTGCACTGGAGGAATGGTTTAGAGCTCAGTGAGAGGGTTGGGCATGGTGGTTCAGGCCTATAATCCCGGTACTTTGGGAGGCAGTGACGAGAGGATTGCTTGAGCCCAGGGGTTTGAGACCAGCGTGGGCAACTTGGCAAGACCTCGTCTCTACTATAAATCAAAAAATTAGCCAGCTGTGGTGGCACTTGCCTGTGGTTCCAGCTACTTGGAAGGCTGAGGTGGAAGGATTACCTGGGCCCAGTAGGTGGGCTCATGCAGTGGCCATGAGCATGCTACTGTACCCCAGCCTGGGCAACAGTGAGATTCCAACTCAAAAAAAAAAAAAATAAAAGCTCAGTGAGAGGCACTAATTTTGGAATAATTAACTCCAACAACAATATAAGTTGGACATTTAAACGAGGCTGATTCATTTACAATCTTATCAAAGATATTTGTTCATAACATTCATGAAAATAATATTTACTTAGGGCTTGTTAGATACTGGGCCCTGCTTTAAGCACTTTCTGTGTATTTAATACAAAAACTTTATGAGTCATTCTTATTATCCTTATTTTTACAAAGGAAGAAACTGAGGCAAAGAGAGTAACTTGCCCAGAGTTAAGCAACTGAAAAGTATTTATAGGTTGGAGACCAGAGGTTGGGATATGAGCCTGTGTTTGCACACTCAGGGAAATTCTTATATTACTGTCAAACTACTGCATTTTTTTGTTAGTTTGTTTTGTTTTTACCATTTGTTGCTCTTAACCACTCTGCTGTTCTGCCAGTACTCTTTATCACAAGGATAGAGCCTTTCTTTCTTTATGAAAAGAATGGGTAAACTAAGCCCAGGTTCCAGTGAGGCACATTCTATTCCTATCTTACAGAGAAGAATTTTTGTGAGTACTACAAAAATTGGAAAGAAGGAAGATGTTGAGAACTTAATTCAAAGAGCTCAGGAGTTCCACAGAATCTTTTGTAAACTCTTAACCTTGTCAGCATGGACTTGGGCCCTAAAAGGAATTTCTTGAAAATCGTATCATAGTGATATATCCCTTTAAATGTTGGGAAGGTCTGATGACAAGGCTAACTCTGAGTAGAGGGTTGTGCACACACACATACACACACACACACACACACACACACACACACACACACCCATATACACACACACTCACACTTAATATTAATCCTTTGGGAATGGATCTATCTTCCAGATAAGCTGATATATAGAAAAAGGAAATATGGTTCAAAGAAGAGAAGAATTGTTTTTGAAATATACAGTGTCCGGAGAGAACAACTTAGGTTGAGCAAGGCTTGTTGGGAAAGCTAGTGCCGTTGAGGGCGAACCCAGAGAATACAGGATTAGAGATGTGACTGAACTGAAAGTCACTGGCTGGAAGTCAAGAAAACCTAGACTTTAGTCCTTGTTATGCCAGGAACTCTGTGGGACATGCGAGGAAGTAATTTAACCTCTCTGGGTCACAGTCTTTGTATCTATAAAACAAGAGAGTCGAATGAGATTTGATTCTGCCCTTAAAATTGTGTCATTCTGTTATATGAGAAAAAGAAAGGCAAAGACAATGGAAAAAAACTGCATCCTCACAATCTTCTCAGCTTTCTCTGTCTATCTGGTTTACCTATTGAACCCATAGCAAGTTTTTGGTATTCTATAATATATATGAGCAGAGGATCAGCTGTTTCCATCCCAATTGGTTTCTTAATTCTTTCCTTGTGTATATTTTGAGTAGTTTTAGAAATTATATTGTGCTGTCACAACATTTCAGAAAAAAGTGGTAACTTTAATGTATGAAAATAAATCAAGACTGAAAATTTGTATACATTTATTCATTCATTAGTTCATCTATTTGTTTAATCAACAATATTTATTGAGCATATACTATATTCCGGTTCTTGATATATACAGGTTGGGCATCGCTAACCTGAAAATTCACATCTAAATATTTCAAAACCCAAATTTTTTTGAGTGTCAACCTGACACTAGTAGAAAATTCTGTATTTGACCTCATGTGACAGACAATATGCAGGCACAAAATATACAGTTTATTCAGCATCCCAAGAGAAAAAATGGCCTCCCAGCCCTCTTCAGCTGCAATGTATCTTTTCCATGCACACCCAGATTTCCCCATGCAAGCATGCCCAGAAAGGGTAATAAAATGGCATGTGTGCAAGACAAGCCAACTGCAGATTCCCCATGATGTCATAAATTTAAGAAAAGACATGGGCCTGGTGCGGTGGCTCAAGCCCGTAATTCCAGCACTTTGGGAGGCTGAGGTGAAGAAGTTGTCTGAGCCCACGGGTTCAAGAACAGCCTGGGTAACATGGCGAGAACACATCTCTACAATAAATAAAAAAATTTAGCCGGGTGTGGTCGTGCACTCCTACAGTTCTGGCTACTTGGAAGGCTTGAGGCGGAAAGATCACCTGAGACCAGCAGGTTGACACTGGGGTGGCCATGAGCGTGCCACTGCACTTCAACCTGGGTGACAGAGTGAGACTCCAATTCAAAAAGAAAAGAAAAGACATAGCATTACATGTTTAATTATTTGTTGTGATGAATCATCTGCTGATCATGAAGCAGCAGAAAAATTTGTTGATGGATTTGTCAAGGTCGTTGCTGATAAAAATCTGATGCCAGAACAAGCATATAATGCCAATGAAGCATTACTGTTTTGGCATTGTTGCCCCAGAAAGACACTGACTACAACTGACGAGACAGCCCCTACAGAAATTAGAGATACCAAGAAAGAAAAACTGCATTGAGATGTGCTAACGTCGTAGGCACACATACGTGTAAACTTGTGGTAGGCTAAAACTTGCATCCTTACTGTTTTCAAGAGGTATAGATCATCAGGGACATCTTTTCTGACTGTTTTCACAAATATTTTGTACCAGTGGCTCTTACTACAAGGAAGCTGGACTGGATGATTGTAAGATTTTGTTACTCCTTGACAACTGTTCTGCTTATCCTCCAGTTGAAATTCTCATACAAAATAATACTTATGCCCATGTACTTTTCCCTAAATGTTTTCCATTAA